AGGAGGAAACTAAGCTCTGTGTCAAAAAGGCTTGCTGCACCATGCTCTTTAATCTGGAGATTTATTCTATCATTCATTTTCTCGTCGACTTAGTCCCTTTATTAATCTGGAGTTGCCAGACCGCATGCCCTTCCAGCTGCAACCCATCTCTGGGAAACATCCATACACATTCATACACTACGGACAATTTAGCCTACCCAATTCATCTGTACCGCATGTCTTTGGACTGTGGGGCAAACCGGAGCACTCGGAGGAAACCCACACGAACGTGGGGAGAGCATGCAAATTCCACACAGAAACGCCAACTCACCCAGCCGAGGCTCGAACCAGCAATTTTCTTGCTGTGAGGTGACAGCACTACCTACTGCGCCACCGCGTTGCCCAATCCAGCGATAAGTGCTCTTATTCTGCCCTGCTAAAGTGAGTTCCCCGTTTGGCGAACCCAAAATTCTTTTAAAGACTATTGACTAATGTCATGTGCCAATGACCTTAAAACAGATAAAAACAATAGACAAAAGTCTTGAATAGAAAATTAATTAGAAATTGATATTACTGCTAGACAGCTGTAGAAGAAGAAGCACAACAAATGAAACGTGAAGGGGTTTTTGTGAAACTTAAACCACAAAACTGACATAAACTGACTGAAACAATTTATAATAAACTCATTTGAAGTATTCTGCTTTATTGTGATCCATCCAGCAAGACATACTGCAAATAAACACATAGATGCCATTCCCATTAGAAATAATATTATTGTCACGTTTGGAGCGCAATGACAATGCACCGAAAAACAATCTAAAATAAATTTAAAGGATTATCTTTGAACAGAACATATATCAATCAAAATAAACAAAGGCGTTACGGTGGCGCAGTGGGTAGCATGATCACCTCACAGCAAGAAGGTCACCGGTTTAAAGCTTTGGCTGGGTCAGTTGGCATTTCTGTGTAGAGTTTGCATGTTCTCCCCGTGTTCGCATGGGTTTCCTCCTGGTGCTCCGGTTTCCCCCACAAGTCCAAAGACATGAGCAATAGGTGAACTGGTTAAGCTAAATTGTCCGTAGTGTATGTGTGTGAATGAGAGTGTATGGGTGTTTCCAAGGGATGGGTTGCAGCTGGAAGGACATCCACTGCGTAAAACATATGCTGGAAAAGTTGGCGGTTCAATTTGCTGTGGCAACCTCTGATAAATAAAGGGCCTAAGCCAAAAAGAAAATGAATGAATAAAAATTAACAGAATAATTCACAATCAAGTCGTAAGGTGCAGAAAAAAAATGTATGCAAAAATGCAGGCAACTTTTTCAAAACGTGAATCAAAAATAGTTCAGTATAACACTGAGTTATCAATAAAAGAAATACAAATAAAGAGACTGTTAATTTATAAAAATATAGCCAGATTGCTTTTTTTAAAACAGATAATGCTAAACTGGCCGTCTTTTTAGTTAAACTTGATACACTTTTGCGAATTGTCTATCCCTAATGGTGTTCACCGCTGTCATATCAATAAATTCATAAACAATAAATTCTAAAATAAATGTTTTCCTTGATTTCCCTTTATTCAGACACAGGTGGCCTAAAATATAGCTTTATTTGAAATGTCATCAGTCATTTCGAAAGTGTATCTAGTGAAAGGAATGCCATGCTATTTGTGGAATTATAGTGCTATATACATAAACGAAAATAAAATGTTTGCTGCAGAATGACAAACAAGACAAGAGTGAAAGCGTGAAAGGTCCTCTGCGACAGGTAAAACCTTTTGAGCAGCAGGACTAGATAGCAGTGTTCAAAAGACTAGACTGTACAAAAATGTATGATCAGTTAGTCCTGACAGTATATGTTTTTAGGTCTTGGTACCTTATTCAATTTATTCGTGGTCTAACTTAATTTTATAGTTACACAATTTGAAAGTTACACAGTTTAATTATAAAAGAAAAGAAACGTTCCTTTTCAAAAAAGCAAAAACTATATTTCATGATTTCCGTGTAAGCTTTAATCATAACAGAACACAATTTGAAGTAATCTACTTATCATCACTCTATTTAGACTATAACTTCCTTGTAGAAAAAATATATTCTTATATACAAAACTAGTCCTTTCACAAAGAGAGACAGAAAATGGAGTCTTGGAAACACCATTCCATCATTGAAATGACAAATATTATACTACAAATCTACAAATGGCAAGAATAATTACACTGTCAAAAGTTTGAGGTCAATAGAATTTTTAAATGTTTTAAAGTAAGCTTCTCCTGCACACCAAAGCTGCATTTATTTGATCAAAAATACAGAACAAACTGTAAAATTGTGAAATGTTATTGCACTATAAAATCACTGTTCAAATGCAGTTTATCGTTTCATTTAATAGTTTATTTCAAATTATTTTAAAGATGAATTTTCAGCTTCATTACTCCAGTCTTCAGTTACATGATCCTTTAGAATTAATGGTAATAGTAATAAAAGTAATCATTTCTGGAGTAATCATTTCATCAAACTACATACAATAAGAAAGCAGTTTTTTTAAATTGTTTTTAAATATTTAACAACTTATATTTTTTACAATTAATAAATGCCGCCCTGATGAACAGAATAATTTTATTAAAAAAAGATGAAAAAAAAAACTTTTGACTGGTAGTGTATATGCATCTCCTAGGGTATTGATCCTCTTGATCCCAATATGTATACAGTTGAAGACAAAATTATTAGTCCTACTGTGAAATTTAAATTCTTTCAAAAATATTTCTACAAGAGAAAGTCTTATTGCTTTTGGTTTGGCTGAAATAAAGCAGTTTTTACACTTAGAAAAGGTGTAGGCAAATATTATTAGCCCTCTTTGAATTTTTTTTTCGACTGGCTACAGAACAAACCACTGTTGTCCATTATCCTGCCTTATTAGCCTAAATTTCCTAATATTTAAGCCTTTAAAGTGCACTTTAATCTGAATACTAGTTTCATGCAAAATAGTAAGTCAAATGTTATATAGTCAACAATGCAAAGACAATTCAATAAATTGGTTATTAAAGCTTTTGGGCCCTATCATACACCCGGCGCAGTGGGGCGCAAGACGCGGCGCAATAGTCTTTTGGTAGTTTAAGCTTGGCGCAAGAGTCGTTTTGAGGCGTTGCGCTACGCTGTTTAAATAGCTAATGCATTAGCGCTCATTTGTGCGCCCATAGACGTTCTGGTCTAAAAAGAGAGGCGTTCTGAGGCGGACCGCTGGCACGTTGCTATTTTGAGAAACTATAATAGATTTTTCATTAGACCAAAACAAACCCGGTCTAAACTCCGGCGCAGATTTGCGCCTCGCTTACGCACTGCTTAATACTCACAAGAGAGCAATAGGCAAATATCTTTACATATGAAAAAATTTAAATATGAAGGATATATATAGGATATAATAAGAATATAGGATTTAAATATAAAGGATTAAAATATTACAAAACATTATTTTCTTGCCTATATAAATATGAAAAATCACTGCTTTTATGTCTTCTTCATCTCGGGAGTCTTTTTCAGTTCATTCATAACAATTTGCTTTTGTATAATGTTATTATTATTAGCAGCATTATTTATTATATCCATATTTATATTTGTTTTATTAAAAACAAGCTTAGATTTGCCCACCTGTCAGGTTTTAGACCATATGGGGCACAGCATGTGTTTTAGGAAATAACTCAGGTTTTTGAGCACATTTTGTTAATATTATTCATTTACTTGTTTGCTAGAAATTAGAACTGAATTTAGAAATAGTTTTGAAACGAATATTTGCGCTTAACAAACAAAAGTATTTATTTATAGACTAATTGATGTCTGTGCGTAAAGGTTTCCCTATCCAAGAGCGAAAGTGATCCATTATCTCTCATTCTCACGCAGTAGATGCTCTGTTTAACAGTTTTCTGTTAATAAACTGTTAACTGTTTGCTTGTGAAATGCTCATTTTTTCCACTTAGACTTACTTTGCGTCCTGTAAATAGTGAATGTGCTTTAGGCGTGATGCAGCTGACTCTTAAAAGGAATGGGAGATGAGACTCTAATTGGTTTATTCTCAAAACACACCTTAAACTCATTAAGAAAATAAACTCAACCCTTTTATACCATGCACTGCGGCGGAAGGCAGATTTCCCATCCTTAAATTAGCAAAAACGCGTCCTGACACGCCCTGAAATCGTTTTTGCCCTGCGTTTTGCACTCTGCGCATGGACCGCCAAATAGAGCCCTTTATGTTTAAAAATATGTTGAAAAAAGTCTTTTCCTTCAACAGAAATTTACAAAGTTCAAAATTCATGTTATAACCCCACTAACACTCAAGGGGTTTTCACCAAGTAATTCAGTAAGTGCTCTATAAAGGGTTAAGTTGCTCAAATACTGAAATCTGAAATTGTCAACTAAGATATAGCCATAAAACAAAATATCTTTGTTTCTAAATGTACTTTCAAAGGAGTGTGCAACCATGAAGATCAAAAGTCAAACATTGTAAGCAAACTGTAAACTTATCTTTTGTTTTTACAGCATATTTAAACAGAATAAAAAAAACTTGGCCTTGTGGTAATGGGTTTAAAATTTGCATTAGTAAATGTACATATGCAAAGAAAAAAAAAAAACATGTCTAGTATTACATGCCCTCTAGGTAACTCAGCGGGGACCTTGATGTCAAAACAACACCAAAAAGCACATCAATCAATTTGAAATCAACAGTCAAAAGGACATCAAACTGACATTCAGCTTTTCGACATCAAAGTACTTCACATGCTTAGTAGGGATACAAAATCCCACACTGTAAAACTCAAAAAGTTAAGGTAACTCAAACCATTTGAGGAAACCACTACAAACCATTTGAGTTAAAGATGAGTACTGTGAACTTATCCCATTTAAGTTGAAGTAATGAGTAGGGCCAAACGGAATCTGCGGACGTTTTTAGCTATTTGTGCGGAGAATTTTGGTAAAAATCTGTGGAATTCTTTTGGGAGTATCAGAACTAAAACCTTAATGTGTGAAATAAAAAAATAATATCTTTTTAACTTTTATTTAATGTTTAAAATGCAAATACAATAAGATTAACTTTATGTGGGTTAAACAAAGCAATTCTCTCATATAATATATCTACTAAAAGACAGAAAATATTACTGTACAAACTGCATTGTACGTAAATCAGATGAACATTTTCATATTGCTCATTAATATTACTGTAATTAATTTGACAACTGAATAAATATAGATACATTTCATTAACTCATTACCTTCAACACTGAGTTCAAAACTCTTTTCAAATGAGCAGAATTGACTTTCAGTCAATTTTAAGTTAACTACACTCATTTCATTTGATAAAGTTGACTGTTGGGTTTTACAGTGCATGCAAATTTGTAATTGAAGCTTTCAAATGAACACAATTCTTATAGTACAATACTTTTTGTGTCATTAAGTTGGTGGTCAAAAGGTCATCAATACGTGCCTGTCAAAAGGTTTGACATCAATTCGATTTGCATTTTCGACGTCATGATGTTGTTTTGACCTCGCAGAGTTTTCTGGAAAGTCTGTCCAAGTCGTCAGAGTTAAAACAGTGTAACCTAATCTTAAAGTCTTAACTCTAAACAAATAATGAGCATTTGCATAGTTCCAGTAACTGCTCAAACGTCCAAATGAATGATTCACTGTGCTAGCTCCCCCGGTGGCCTGAGACGCTCACATAAACGTCATCCACAAAGAGGGTGTGTGGTTTGGAAAATTGGAGGATGATTCATTGCGACTCCAGAGGTTATATGCAAAGAGACTGAAATGTTTTACTTATGTGCGACACAGTTAGACAGCGTGATATGAAAGGTCTATTTCAACAGTCGGTGGGATATTCAAAAAGTCCCAAGCAGTGTTCTGTAACAGGGCTGTTTGGCCGGCGATGTGGGGGAATTTCAGAGCTCCACATTCATTAAGTGTTCGCTCAGTGCTGATGCTCGTGCTCCATTGTCCCCCCGTGTTTTTTGATACGTCTTGAAAAGCTTTATAGGGATCATCCCTTGCGATTGTGTGATCATGATGTAACAGAGGAGAATACAGTGGATTGGCACTGGTGATTAGATTTTGCCTGATCACCTTGTCGTCTGCATCAACATCAGAGGAAAGTTTCGCACAACCATCTACAACATCTCTCTTTTCCACAACAGCACTGAAAGCCTGATATCCTTCATCAGGAAAGTTCTGCAGGCTCTTAATGATATCAATAGAGTTTTCCAGCTTAAATATGGAGTCTGAGACTTTTCTATCATCAGAATGATCACAGTTCAGGTCTAAAAATGAAGAATCATCAGTGGTTCCTTCCAAATATGACTTGTTGCTGAAAACCGATGAACCCGAGCAGGTACCCGAATCTCTGTTAGCACGATTCCTTTCCTTTGAAGAAGACTCCACACTGTTCTATGGCATCTCAATGAACTGGTTGAGTGGTGTGTTCCATTTCAACCGTAAAAAATCTAGAGCTATTGCAATATCAAGTTGTGATCGGATGTCTTGCACCGGATTGCTACCAGAATCACAGACGGCCTGGCCATTATCCCCTGGTGATGATTCAACACTGTGAGAACTTCTCTCGTTGTTTGGGTTCACACATACTTTTGAGATCCTGACAGAAAGAGACATGTTGAGGTGTTATTAAGAAGACATAGAACGACACTGAGCATGATTACAGTGTATAAATAAAATAACATACGATTTCTTTCCCTCCTCGAAGTCTGGATTAATAACCTCAACTTGGTTTGGGTAGACTGCATTGGAGGAATGAGGCAAAAGTTGATCCTATGAAACAATGGAAAAATGAGGAGTTATTATGACTCACATTATGATGAAATGATGCATTATTAAATACATTTATTATGGTGGCTTGAGAAAGCCAACATACTGTTGTACTACATACACGTCTTATTCTTCCGTCTTCTTTTTCTTACACTACTTCAAGAACACATCTCCTCCTAGCCTGTTCATACTACAACCATCAAACTAACTCTAAAAAACTATACTGAATTAAGTTGATATATCTTTTCCAACTGATCCAACTAATGGTTTTCCGAAAACTGACCCGGAAAATTTGGAAAAGTACCATTGATTAAACGTTGGACCAATCTTTGTGACCTCATTGGGCTCATTTAACTCAGGCTACCAATCTGCCAATCACTTATCACCTTTCAACTTACTAACCACACCCTAGAAACCACTTACGACACCCTAGCCACTGTCCCATAGACTTCCATTGTAAAAAACTGCCATTGACCATACCAATCCCTACTAGAAACATACAAACACACATACTAATTATACTAGCAACATGCTAGTTTATATTAGAAACATGCTAACAACAAGCTAATTTGTGCTAGAAACATGCTAGTGTAACAGGTGTACTATATTTATTTATTATTGGACCAGACAATAAAACCAGAAGACTACAAGGTAAGTAAAGGGAGGTGGGGGTGAAACTGAGTAATAACCAGACACAAATAGAATGTTTTAAATACAAAAATAATTTTACTTTAGATTGTATGAATTTTTTCCTTTTCGTATTTTTCTTAGTAAACAATACTTACATCAGTAACATAACTATTTATACACAATCCCCAGGGTGCACCCACTTTACAATTATTATAAATCAAACACGAATCACAATAAATGAATTCAAGTGAAAACAAAAGAAACCATACAATAGCACAAATAAATCTGTCGTTGTTCACTCTGAAATTGGTTAAATCTGTTCAATTCAGATAAAGTTCTGTTTTTTCCCTTCAAAAAAATAAGTCCTTACAGCTGTATTCAAAATCGCAGTCCAATAAAGGAATTAACTTTTTGCCAAATTCTTACTTTATCCGGTGAAATGAGGATAAACTGAAATATGTGTACTTCACAATTTTCCAGGTCGACGTGGGGGGATCGCCATCAATTCAACTGAATCCAGGGAACTAGAAAAATCTCCCCCAAAAAAAAACCAGGCCTGTTCACAGACCAGAGTATATAAACAAGTTTATATAAATATGTTCAGAATAAGTTCAAAAACATGCCAAATATACAACACTTGGAACAAATAAAACACATACACACACATGTATACCATAAAATGAGCTAATATAATGGAATACCTGTCAAATTCGCAATGTCTATATCACTCTATGGCCTTCTCACACACACGCAATTGCAAAATGGCGTCAGCGCACTGTAAACGCAATGCAACATGCGGTCTGACTTCAACACACTATCACGCTAAATAACAACTATTTTGCAAGTACAACTTGATTTAGTACAACTACAATCACTTTTAAACTGTTTAGGTATCGTAACATACCGTATTTTAATCTTTTTGTAGGGATGGCTGACGTGAAACTGACGTTTCGACACAGTGTCGAGATCCCGAAGCGCAAGTGTTTCGAAACACTGCACCGAAGCATGATCCGAAGCACCCAAGTCACGTGACTAATTTGTTTCGAAACACTTGGTAACGTGACTAAAGCGATTCAAAACATTGATCACCTTAGAAGCGTTTCGAGACCTGGCAAATCTCCATTTGGCTGCCAAGGTCAGGAAAATCCCATTTCATATGGTCTAGTGGACTGTGCATGTGCACGATGTTGCAGTGCATGTAATGACTTTTTGGGTTCGAATCTCGACTTCTACAAATACTCCGTTTCTGTTTTGTGTAGCCTAAATATGATACAGCTGCAGTTACGCCATCAATTTAGCATCCTTTTTGTAACACTGTAAAACAATAATTAATATTTTTACAGTACTGTGATAGTTTGGTTTAGGGTTTGGGTAGACGTTAATAAAATACAATAAATGGGAAATTTTATGAATAATATAAATAATTCTTGATAACTTCAGGCCACAGTTTCTGATCTAGCAACAACCCTGTTTTAAGACCAAAACAAGACATATTTATTAACAAATTGTTTATTCGGATATCAGACCAATGTTGAAACAAAACGATTCAAGAGCAAAGCATTACCAACTGGTATTGAAGCATTTCAAAATAGCTATAATTGCCTGGCTTCGAACCCACTATCCCCAGACACCTACAAAGTGGGCTTTAATACCTCAATTTGCTCAACTGTTATGTGCTGCAGCTATTTCAGTGCAATACATAAAAAATGACCACTAGGTGTCACTGTACAGTGGGGTTTCGAAACGTTTCGAAGCTTCGACACATTTGCTTCGACTTTTTCAGTGTTTCATGAAGCCTCGCTTTGCCCACCAATATCTTTTTGTTCAAGTTTGCTCCTCTCTATTGTTCTGCCAACAGGTCTCGTCTCAAGCTGGAAGGGGCGGAGCTAACAACCCGCTCCTACGATTGGTTGTTATTTTACCTCAAACTACATTTGTATACATTAATTTTATTTTGTTTATTATATTTATAAAGACTTGTAGATATAATAATAATAATATGATTGTGCTGCTCTAAATAATATTATAAATAATTATATAACTATTTCACTAGGGTTACACTAGCAACATGCTAATTCATACTAGAACTATGGTAATTTATTTTAGCAACTGCCTAGCAACTACTCAGAACACCTTAGCAACACCCTAGCAACACCTTAGCAATGACCTAGAACAGGGGTGTCCAAACTCGGTCCTGGAGGGCCAGTGTTCTGCAGATTTTAGCTCCAACTTGCCTCAACACACCTGCAAGGATGTTTCTAGAATGCCTAGTAAGAGCTTGATTAGCTAGCCCAGGTGTGTATGATTGGGGTTGGAAATAAACTTTGCAGGACACCAGCCCTCCAGGACTGAGTTTGGATATGGCTGACCTAAAACAACTTAGCGGCCGTCTAGCAACCACTCAGAACACCCTAACAAACATCTAGCAACATCTTAGCAACCACCTAGCAATGCCTTAGTGACCGCCTAGTAACCACTGAGAACAATCTAGCAACCGCCAAGCAACACCATAACAATGACCTAAAACACCTTAGCAACCACTCAGAACACCCTAACAACTGCCTAGCAACACCGAAGCAACCACTCAGAATAAGCAAAAAACTGAGTAGCAACACCTTGGCAACCGACCAGCAACCACTCAGAACACCCTATCAACTGCCTAGCAAGAAACAAGTTCCTGAAACAGATCGGGGTAACAGATCCGGCATGTTACCCGAGGATGTAAAGGTGTCGCGCACGAAACTGGAAAGCAGGGGGTGGAGGGATACAGGGCATTGGATGGCAGATAGGTGTTGCAGACGAAAGTGAAGAGGGTTGGATAGTCACGGAAGAAAGTGAAAGTGAACAGCGGACGGGGGAGGAGGACAGTTGAGGTGGGGGATCTGTAAATGAGGTGCCAGATCAGATTTCAGAGGTGCTGGATCTGGCGTGTTCCAGCACAAATTAAGCCCCGGTTATAACAGTTTCACACTTCTTAAAAACGACTTCAATGATTTAAACTTTGAAACTTCTTCAAACTTTCAGACTGGGCTTTTATCAAGACGCATGAATTTTGTCTAAGAACTTTACTTTTCTAGTTGATTTTTGTTTTTACCTTCTTATTTCCAAAATTGTCTTTAATTGTTGGCTTGGCGATCTTGTCCCACCACTTTGACTTCATCCTGTAATGAAGAAGTAAAGTGCGTCAGGACTTGTCAAGGTTGCATAAAGGAATAGTAAAAAGGCTAAATATAGAGTGATGGCAAGACAAGTCTTACCTCAAAAAACAGATGAAGGTCATACAAATGATGATGAGTAAACCAATACACAATGGTGGAACCACCAGTTTGACTATTTCATTAGGTAATGGAGCTGTGGAACACATACAGATTGATCAGCATTAATAGAGTATTACCACACAGTCAGTTGCTGCAGTCTAACATGTCCCAAAATCCTTTGTGTCATTCATCTGACATTCCAGTTATTGTTAAAAACATATTTATTGGTTAAGAAAATGAATATTTATTACAGGAACTCCACTGCTGTTGCCACAATCAGGAAGTTCCAGTAATAAAAACCTGTTTAAATAACAACGGTTAAACCTTTGAAGACAGACAGCTTTGAGGTTAATCAGTTACATGTGCTTACATGCATCTCTTTTGTCTAAATAAACCTAATTATAAAAAACAACCATGTTCAATGCAGAAAAAAACTCTATTACCCATGATACTGTGAAGACAGCTCAACCAATTTAAGGGTTGCAGTGAACATTGCATGGCAAATAGACCTTTAGCCCCACCCAATCCCCCACATACACATTATTTCATTCAAGATATGTCTGAAGTAGACTGCATTAACAGCTGAGCAGTTTCTGAATTATTTATTTAATTGCATCATATAGATTTTTGTAATGTCTTAATGATGATAAAACAAAGAATATTGCTCACAAATTAGGATTATAAGGCTGCATGACATAAAACTAAATCAATAAATCAACAGTTCAGTCTGTATTACTTTACCACAATTGGGAATTAACCCCATCATTTGCTTTGGCTTCAAGCAAAGCAAACACCAAACTATATCGACATATAGTAATACAATATACAAAAGAGAGAGAACAAATAAAGCAAAATTTATCTTACATTTAGTAATATTTTAAAATGTCTGCTGAGAAAAAGCAATGCCTCCTTTCAACAAATAAGGAAAATTTCTCTCCTTCAAAATGTCCTTTATGATTTATCATTACACAGTCTCTGTTGCCATCAAATGATGGAAGAATGTAACTTGAACTGTCAATCACTACAAACACTGACCATTTTGCAAGAGAAAGTACTTTTATTTAATGATACTGTAATTCATATAAAAATGACCTTTATTGAGCAATAACATTTAACAACATAACAATTCTAAGCAAATCAGTCGAAAAAACAATGGCTGCGTTTTCATATAGCATTAAGCTTAAAGCATACAAAGTAATAAATCAGTAATAATACAGTCAAATCTGTTTTCTCTGGAACAAATAACAGATGACTATGACCAAATATTGCAATTAGATATACCCAAAACAATTGACATTTCACATTTAACACTTATAGAGACATACGACAAATTTCAGAATAAGTGTCCATCAGATGGATGCTTTCTGCAAGGAACACCTGCTGTTGCGCTTACAATCCTATTTTCAAAAACATTGAAACATATTTTCAAATGAGTGAAAAAAAAGAATATATATATATATATATATATATATATATATACATATATATATATATATATATATATATATATATAGTGCTCAACATTATTGAGTACAACCTATTTTGAGATGAATCAGTGAATATCGGTCATATATAGGTGCACTTCAACAAAACATATTTGGTAAACAGATTTATTTAAAAAAAATCATATTCAGGCCCTCGAAAACCTTCAGAAATATTAAAAAAACAATACATTTAAATTCATGTGAAATAATGGGAAAGGAAATTACAAAATTACAACTTTCAAAATTTTTTTGTTTTTCTTCCATTTTTCTCTTTTTAAAATCTCATTCAACATTTTTCCCTAAATAAAAATCTAATGTATATGCACAAATATAATGTTGTATAGCTTCTAATAGAAAATATTAATCTTAATGAGAGATTTACGAGGGCTGTACTCATATATGCTGAGCACTGTGTGCATGTGTGTGTGTGTGTATATATATATATATATATATATATACACATGCATACAGAAAAATTATTAGGGACAAATTTTCTGGAATCAGTGCCTCAGACCACTTGTGCAAGTCAATGAAACCATTAATAATTATTTTACTGTAATACTGTAACAGCACTCCGCAGTGGACTCTTGGTCCATTTTTTTTTTTTTTTTATAATATTTTATTTACAATATTACTTTATCCTTGTAAAAGTTTCAGATAAATAGATTTACTTACCAGTGGTGAAATGAACTGCTGCACTCTGATCACTATATATCTTCTGACCGTTGTAGTTCGAGCTCATTTTTGCTGTCAGAATGTATTCAGTTTTTGGCTGGAGAAGACTGCCCACGATAACACAGAATCCAACAGTGTTTGCCTCCTTTGTGGAATTCTGTAGAAAATGTTTGTTTTTATTTTATTTATAAAAAATCTACATATTGTTGAATTCAGAATTATTAGCCCTCCTCCTATTTTTTTCTTTTTTAAATATTTTCCAAATGATGTTTAACAAAGCAAGAACATTTTCACAGCATGTCTGATAATATTTGTTCTTCTGGATACAATGACTATACAGTGACTTGCCTAATTACCCTGACCTGCCTAGTAACCTAATTAACCTAGTTAAGCCTTTAAATGTCTCTTTAAGCTGTATAGAAGTGTCTTGAAAAATATCTAGTCAAAAATGTTTACTGTCATCATGGCAAAGATAAAAGAAATCAGTTATTAAAAACGAGTTATTAAAACTATTATGTTTAGAAATGTGTTGACAAAAATCTTCTCTCTGTTAAACAGAAATTGGGGGGAAAGTAAACAGGGGGATAATAATTCAGGGGGGCTAATAATTCTGAATTAAATTGTACAAAAGTACAAAAAGATTTTATATGAACTATAAGCCATCTTCCTTACTGTTTCAATTTCTCCTTTGATCCTATAGGTCAGAGTTATAAACAAATTATCTGTAAAGACATTCCTTTGTCCATAGCTATCATCCCAGGTAACATGAAAGTTTCTATTTTCTGTCTTCTTCACAAATAACACAGGAGTTTTTGGTTTGACTGCAGAAAAAAAGCACATTTTAAACACGTCTGTCAATGCTAAACAATTCCTTCTATTTCTTTAAAATGCTAAACAAGCATTTACTCACTATAATCTATCGTCTTGAAATCCCTTTGTAATAAAACCTTTGTTCCTTTGAGAAGTGTAGTGGAGAAGATCTCTTCAGTAATAAAGCCTTCCACTTCAATTTTGCATTCACAAATGGCATTGTGATGACTTCTCTCAAAGACGCATGAAAACCTATTTATCCTGGAAGAAACGTTCAGCATGTAAATTTATTACGAAACAAACAGCGCGGTAATAATAGTTACAGAGGAACAACAGGCAAGTACAAACACTCACTCATATGCTAGTTTTTGTGTGACGTTCAGCTTGTATCCAGAACAATTTCTGAGACTTTCAGAAGAGAAACTGCACGTCATCTCGGCCTCGTAGTCATTAAAACAATTCAAGTCCTTAATGGGATCTGAAGAAAATACAGAGACGGGAAATACAAGATGAGAAAGGGTTAAAAACATGCAACGTTTGAAATTCCATGATAGCACACATATACATCACAGAGACATCTATGTGATGTTCGTGTTTACATGTGGAAGACATTTATTACAGTGCTTGCTCATCTGCAAAATAGGGCTGCACAATATTGGAAAAATTGCACATTGCAATCTTTTTATTATGTGATATAAATTGCGATATGAATACGATTTCACCAGATAAGTTGAAAAACTGTTAGGAAAAAATCTATCATTTTAGATTGACTGGGATGATTCTGCAGGGAAGTGCATAAAATATATAATTGTCATGATCACCAGCGATCCATTTCTGATAGATTGCTGGTGAACTTCAGCTGTGTTAAGGAACTACAAATCCTGTCATGCACCTTACACACACACCTGTTTCCGGAACTCTGATGATTACATGCTCACAGCTGTAGTGATTCATGGACTGATCACATGGACTACTTCTTCACCACACAGGGGCGGATTTAACCACTAAGCCAGTTAAGCGACTGCTTAAGGCCCCAGGAAATCTGGGGGCCCCCAATAAATATCAAAAGTATAAATTACTCCTATGAACTATGTATAACATTGTGTTCATTCATACTTTGTATAGTGAGGATTAATCAAATACAATTTTAATGTAATTAAATATTATTTAGTATACAAATAAATATAATATTAATAAAATAATGTAATGTTATGTAATAATAATAATAATGATAATGTTACAAAATAAAACATCCATGGTGCAATCCAGCAGTCAAATAAAAAAATGTATGCATTATTTTTAATTGAAAATTAATTTTACCGTTAAAAAAAGAATCATTTAAAATGTAGAGATTTCATCAATTTAAAATGTAGAAAAGAAGATGTTGTAACAAAAAGAAATGGATGCATTAGAAAGGGTGCATTTAAGGACTTGGGCCCGTCATAACACAAATGTTAGTTCAGTACAGAGTAATAATGTTGACGTGATGTGTTGATATTTCTTTGTTTTTTTCCTGTTTGTATTTTTGACCAAAGCCTTGTTATATCATTGATCCTCTTTATTTTGACCATTGCCTGGTTTTGTCTATGTTCCTGGATTTTCCTCATTGTACTAGTCTCACCTTTTTTTGATGTTGTTAGCCTGCACAAATAATCTTATTAAACTGAGATTGGATCCTTACCTCTGTTGTCCCTCGCCTTGCTCCCGCACAAAGTTTTCATCTTATAAACAATTCAATAAATCTAATCATTTTTGATTTATGATAAGTTGCTATTGCTACATTTTCAAACAGTTACAAATGGTACATGCATGCTTTTAAAACCCTCACACAGTCACAGGCCTCAAAAACACCAGCAAAATGATTAATTATAGTCCAGACTCAACATTGCGCATGCTCGCGATGTGACTAGGCATAGGCCGGAATAAGATTCGGACGATTTGATAACCTTGGATTAAAATATCATGGTTTAACAGTATTGTGGTTACTGCTCTAAAATATGTTATTTTTAAATGTCTAGCTAAAAACAAAAAACTTTTTCCCCCTTTGAACACAATATATCTCATTTTTTTTATATCATTAAATATTTTGGAACAGTAAACATGTCAGGCAAAATTATTCAAATTAATTTTGACTACTGCTGTCTTTATTAGTTAACATATGATATCGACTCATTAATGTAATATATTTATATTATATATTGATATAATTATATCTAATGTAGCCTAATAAATAGTCCAAGTCATGGAGCAAAACAAAAATTCTATGGAAAAAAAAGTTAAAGGTTTACCGTCACAAAGTGCTTGGCAGACGAGTGTGAGGATGATCTGGTAAAGAAATAATGAGGAAGACATCCTATATCCTGCATAAAAACACAGAATAAATTATACAGAAATGAAATTCACACCAACAAACGATTATAGACTTAACAAAACATTATCCCTCGCCAAAAATGTAGCACAATATATATTTTCACTGTACCTATAGGTTTCCTCGTTCGCGAAGTAAAACATAAGAAACTTAATTTGCTTCTCTGTGTCACACAAAAAGTCCAGACGAGCAGTTCAAAATGTGGAAATTTCAGTCTGCTGGCTGCTTCCCTATTCGCAAACGAAACATTGAACTTCATTTAAAAGGGCGTATCGAAGTTTCCTTCAAGACACGCGGACGCGCAGCTGTTCCACTGACTCCAGACCTGCTCGCGCCCGCGCTGTTCTCTCCCTCACACACCGTGATCTCATGCTCACACTGATCTCTAACCTGCTCTTTCACACACTCAGAAAAAAATGTAATAAATTCAGAACCAGGGGTTCCCTTTCGGGAACTCTACGCTGCGTCTCTTTAGGAGACACAATGGGATACAGTCCCTCTCTTATAACCTCCTGAAGCACAGGTGAAATCAATCCAATGTAATTGGCGGGACCGTGTGTGACGTCAGACCGGGAGGTATAAAAGCACCACGGAAGCATACAACTTCAGTTTATATATTCTACAATTTAAAATCAAAATTGCAAAGAGATTATCAGATCACGTGTCAGTGTTTACCTCTGAATTATTAGCTATTATTAAAGCACTTCAATGGATTGAAGAAGTCCAACCAGAAAAAGCAGTAATTTGTTCGGACTCAATGGCTGCACTTAAAAGCCTTCAAAGTGCCAAATCTGAAGCTAGACAAGATTTAGTATTTGAAATTTTACAAAATTTATTCACAATTAGGCAGTTAAGAATGGTTTCATTTCTCTGGGTACCGGCACATGTGGGTGTAGATGGGAATGAGGAAGCTGATATGCTAGCAAAAAAAGCTTTAAATAATGAGCAAATAGAAATTAAATTAGCATTAAGTAAAACAGAATTTAATAGAATGATTGCAGTCGAAATATATAAGAAATGGCAACAGGTGTGGAACAAGGAGATCAAAGGAAGACATTTATATCAGATACGGAAAAGATACGGATATCGAAGGAAAGATGTCATCATAACAAGACTAAGGATAGGCCATACGTCATTAAATTACAGCTTGTATGAAATAGGAAAGCATGAATCAGGGAAGTGTGATAATTGTGGAGAGTTGGAAACAGTCAATCATATAATTTTAGAATGCCCAGCTTATGAAAGAGAGAGGTTTGATTTAATACAAGAATTAGGAGAGCTGGAAGATAAGGTAATTTCTTTGAAAGTCTTGCTAGGAAACGGGCTTAGACAATCAAAAATTCATGAGATATTAATTAAATATTTGGGAAATATAGGAATAATGCATAGAATTTAGTTTTTTTATTTTTTATTTTTATTATAATTTAATATAGTCATTTAATGTATATATAAGTGTTTTCTTTCTACCCCAATTATGTACAAGTCCTGCGGGGTCCTTGTGTAATCATAGATCAAGACACGCACGATTCATGTGTGTGCGCAGTGCCTTTGACCAGGAGCAAGTACAATCAGTCCTCGAGAGGGGTGTGTGTACTCATTTTAAAAAGCCCTGGTCGAGTGCTGTGAAAGTGTTTCCCGCGGCTCATTCGTGATTTTGCGGGGAATCAGCTCGATCTGACGGTTAAGGAGACAAAACTCGAGGGTTTTCTTCTCCTCTTTGTCCTCCAGATCGGCATCCTTTCAGCGCGAGCCGGACGCCTGCTACGGCTGCCTTTCTTTTCGCACTGTGGGATTGCGGCTCCGCCTCTGCTTTCGAGGGAGTTGAGAGTATGGAAGGCCGTTGGGGCCAAAATGGTTGTTCCCCCCCATTATGTCCCGAATATGATGAACTGGCTGAGATTAAGCCTGTATTGCTTGAATTAATCCCCCATAAAAATATTATTATATAACATATATTATAATATAGAACATAATAATAATAATAATACTTATTATTATTATTATTATAAATATAAGGGGTCTAATTTTTAATGAGTACCTGCACAGGGAAGTATTAACCTGAAGCAGGTCTCACATTGTTTGTATGATTAGCCATTTATTCAGCTATGGCTTGCTTAGATTACTCTGTTGCAGAGTGAGACTTCAAATCAAGGAAGTTATCATCTGCAAAGACTCTGCTTTGCCATCAAGGGTGAGGCCTGTTATCGTTCAAAAGGAACTGCTTCGGGCTTGAGACCTGTCTTTCTGTGCCATAAAAATGGGTGTTCACAGGGACATTTGTGGCCAAATCCGTCCGATATCAAGAAAGAGGACAAATGTCTCTTCCTTGATGTCCCCATTTTTGCCCGCTGGTTCATTAGAGAATCTGTTGAGCGGGCAGAGGGGGGTGGGGCTCCTACGGGAGCTTCTTTCCCTAAGAAACCGTTCTTCTAGGGCGGCTAGGCGGGACCAGCCGCAAGCCAGTTTATCCGCTCAGCATTGTGTGGGGCAAGAGAGTGCGTTGCATCCATTCAGCCCCCAAAAAACAGTTGGGGTTGGAAGCAGCGCTCTCACAGGTACCCCCTGCGAGGAGCAAGGGCTGCCTTATCATGCCCCACAGGGGGTCCATCCGCCAACCCTCCCACCGCTGGTGCCTCAGGGTGTGGAGACCCCTGGTGTTGTCCACCAGTGTTTTATCCCAAAAGTGGTGACTCTAGTGAGGCAGTGCCCTCAGGAGACAAAGTCCGTCATGTACTGTGGCCAAGAACCATTGTCGTGAAACGACTATAGTCTCCGAAGAAGTTCTAGTATTAGGAAATTCTTCAGGCAGCACCTGCGAGGAGCAAAAGCCTCCTCCTCGTGCCCCACAGGGGGTCCATCCGCCAACCCTCCCACCGTTGGTGCCTCAGGGCGCGGAGACCCCCGGTGTTGTCCACCAGCGTTTTATCCCAAAAGTGGTGGCGCTAGTGGACTCACCCCCTCTACGGAGGGTCCAAAAGCAGTTAACTTAGTGGCCTCCTGTCGTGAGTTCACTTCAGTGCCCTGAGTTAGCCATCTAGGGGAGCATAGAGGCCAGTCTTGAGGGACTGGTACCCCTGCGGTATTTTCTGGCAGAATGGCAGCGGCTGCCAAACGTTTTGCAGTTGGGTCCTGCTAACCTTAAAGAGGAGCTATATAATGCAGCTTGGTTCACACCCCTCTTGGTGCAATAATTTGCTTTACAATTGTAGTAAAGTTAAAGCAGGCTCTAGAAATGGAAATGAAGTAGACTCCCTTCTGAGGAAGGAAGTCATAAAACAGGTCCTCCTCCAGACATGGAGTCGGGGTTTTTATATTATTACTTCATTGTTCCAAAGAAGGATGGACATTATATCCTATATATATATATATATATATATATATATATATATATATATATATATATATATATATATATATATATATATATATATATATATATTAAGATGACTAAATCGCTATGATCAAATGCTGAAGTTCAAAACAATGACTATCAGCACCATAGTGTCACAAATACAGGCTGAGGGCTGGTTTGTCACATATCCATCCTTTAAAGTCACAGAAAGTTCCTGAGTTTCACCTTCAGGGGCAAGGCGTACAGGGTTCTTTCATTTGGTCTGGCATTCTCACACCACACATTCACCAACGTAGTTAACGTACCATTGGTTTCACTTTGGCTACAAAGGACTTGTATTCTCTATTTTCTCGACGGCTGGCTAATTTAATTCCAGTTTAGGGAGTTAGCAATACCACATAAAGATGTTGTTCTTGTTTACATACAGAAGTTGGGGTTGCGGCGAATCCTACAGTAAAGTATTATTGTGCCAGTTCATGTTGAGACAGAAGTTGGCAAATACTTTTTAGGTGTATTATGGAACTCCACAACGATGTTCGTGTGTCTGTTCCCCTACTCAAATAGAGTTAATCCAGATCGCCGTAAAGAGTGTCAGTCTGGGCCTAGCTATCACTGTCAAACTGTTTAGAGGCTGGTTAGCAGCAGCCATCAACATGGTTGGGTCTGCTAACATGTCATTGTTACAGCCGTGGCTCAAATCCAGGGATTTTGCATAATCAAAGCCTTGTGACATTATCTACAAGCTTTATCGATAGTGACAGCCCTGTTTTCTGTCCCAAAGCCCTACATTGGGAGTAATCTCTCAGCGCATGGCACTGACTTCAGAAGCTGTATGCGAGGGTTGGGAAGCGACCCTGAGGGGCCTTCCCACATTGGGGCAAAGGAGGGACCATCTTCTCCACATGCATATCGATTGCTGGGAGATGTTATCAGTGTTTCATGCTCTGAAACACTTGTTTACCTCAAATAAGAGGTCACCTTGTGTTAGTGAAAACCGACAACACATCGGTGGTCTTTTGTCAGCCATTAGGGAGTCTGAATCCGCGCCCTCTGTGCAGGTTGGCGGAGCAGATCCTTCTGTGGGCTCGGGTGAAGCTGCACTCACTGAAGGCAGCTTACATCTCATGCCCAGGAATGTAGGAGCAGACCCCCTGTTGAGGCAGGGGTCGGCACCTGGGGGATGGCGACTGCACCCAGAAGTAGTAGCGACCATTTGACAGAGATTCGGCAGAGCCGACGTGGATATATGCACCTGTCTGGAGAGAGTCCATTTAGGGGGCTCAACCTACTATCGGTGGCCCCTAGGCCTACAAGACTGTGATTCTCAGACCTAATGTCTTTCCTTAATGGTCTCCCATGGGAGATTCTTGTTCAGAAGAGTTCTGTCCCAGGCAAGCTATGGGTGTGGCCTCTGAGGGGACCCACCTCATAGATCTTGGTTTTTCAACTGAACATGTTCAAACCACACTCAGCTCCAGAGCCCCTTCCATGAGGACATTGTATGCCACCAGGTAAATTTTTCACTTTGTGGTGTACCGACCACCACTTTGGTCCAGTTTCACCACCTGTGGGGTTGGTGCTGGAATTCTATCCAGGAGCGTTTTAATGAGACGCTTTATGTATCTGTAGCAGTGGTCAGA